TCTATTAACTGTACATATAAAACAACATATATAAAAGTAATTATTTTTTTTCAAACATTGAAAGAAGTTAAATATTTTTTTCCTCATAAATAGTTTTTCATTGACTAAATTTTAACGAAAATAAAACACGCAGGGATCTTTTATATATGAAATATGCTTTTAAAAGATAAAAAAATTGTGTGAGATTGAGATATTAAAATAGATTATTTAGTTAAATATTAAAAATAGATTATTTATAACAAAAAAATGAGATTGAGATATTAAAATAGATTATTTATAACAAAAAATTAAATTGTATTTTTTTGTTTTAAATTAAATAAAAAATAATAATTATGATAACAAATTATAAAATTGCTTCTTTTAAAAAAAATTGAGGGGCAAAAATATATTAAATAAAAATAACAATAATAAATCAGATGTTATCATTTAACCTGTCAAACTTACATTCTATATTATAGAATTAATCAAGTTTAATTTTTTTTTTCTATAAATTCATAGTACCTTACCTCAATATACTACTAAAAAAACAATTGAAAAACAATCCAATACCCTAGGCTTGTTAAAGAAAGAGCTAATACTCAAAAGATAAACAACACATTGTTTGTTGTGACAAATGTTGTGTTGTCTATTAAACTAGAATCTGATCATTACCACGATAGTTGAAAAATCTAGTCTTTTAAGTTTTTTTTTTTAAAAAAAAATCATTTATTTTAACCTAAAAATACCCTACAAACACTCTTAAAACATCAACAACCAACATATCAACATAATAAAATTATAAAAAAAAATTCAAATCATAAAATCAACCCAAATAATTTTTTTCATTCTCCACTTAAACCTAGTTTTTTAGTTAATATTAAGGATAGAAAAAAGTACTATAAATCTCCTCTCATTGAATGGATTATTTTGACATAAATTTTAACTCATTTGATGGTTGCAAAGATATCATTTTCTCGAAGTGTTGAATTCTCTTCTCATAAAAACATAACTGAAAAATAAAAAAGATAAAGTCCAAGAATCAAAATGAAATTACTAAAAAAACTGACCATGAAAAGGATGGGGTACCAAACTTCTTTTTTTTTTATGAAATTCCTGATTTGGTGATAATTGAATTGATGCAAGATTGACCATTCTCCGTCTGCGTAACCCTTGATGTAAGAGACTTGGAAGAATACAAATTAAAAAAAGAAGAAGAAGAGAAGGAGGAGGAGGAGGAAGCAGCGTTACAAGAAACAGTTGAACCTCCATCTTTGACTTGCCCTAGGCCCGACCTTTCTATCAATGTCCTTTGTTTCTTCAAGCCTCAGCCAACAAAGTCAATATCAATGAATGGAGATTCAAAAACATTAACAAAATTACATTATCGCATTAAGATAGAATACAATATGAATGAGGAAGTGTTAGGTATATTTAGATTTAATAGATTTCGTGTTTATGTAAAGAAAGGAGGACGACTTTAGATATATTAATTAATGTACATTGCCATTTCAACCATAATTTTCTATTATTGTTTGGCGAAGCAAGCTTAGATTAATCCTCCAACTACACATGACTCCTCCGATAATTATTTCTTCAATTGGGTCCCTTATCTATATATCTTTTTCTCAATTGGGTCATTAATTTTGTTACAATAACTGCGGATCTTGTTAAATATTGCACACGCTACTGAATGGTTTTCTAACTAATTCTAACTCTCTCAAAACTTAGAACGTGCGTGGAATACAGTGAATAATTAATTCCCCTGATATATTGCTGCAATTGTTCTTGCAGCATGTTGAATGATGGAAGAAATAGGATTTTTCCATGTTTAACTAGAGCCAGGGAGAAAACACATGCACTTATTCAACATCGTCTTCAATTTGGCGACCCAGTTGATGAAATCAGTAGTTGAGGGACTCATTTACCCACTCTGTTTTTTGAAAAAAATAAAATAAAAAAAGAGTCGGTCTCTGTAGCCGTAAAAGACCACCAAGATCCCTAGGTAAAGAGGAAGCATTCAAAACGAGATAAATTGGAACACGCATGCATAATTGAAAATCCATACCAAGGCAAGTACCTGGATTCGGAGAAAACTACAACATATAAGAGAAGTCCAATGTTGTTGCCGGCTTTCTGACTTCATCTGCTTCACATCCAATCCCTCTAGAAACTAGAAAACTTGTTGCCTTTTAATTGATTAATTAGTCATCACCACGAACCTCTCTTCAAGTACTTGAACTCTTCAAAATCCCTCCCATTGTTTCCCAAATAAAACCAAAGACCTCTCTCTCGAACCCCAAACCAACCCAACGATTATGGCAAGATCACAGCAATATCCTCATCTTTTCATGATCACTATAATTCTTATTCTTCTCTCAATCAATTCAGTTCCTTCAATCTCTGCTCACTTTTTCCATAGCAATGCTTCAATCCCAGAAGACTTGCTCAAAAACGCAACCTCTAATCCATGGAGTTCCTTCCATCAACTATCCGGCTGCCATGCTGGTGAAAAATACGACGGCTTGGCCAAGCTCAAAAGCTACTTCCAGTACTTCGGTTACATCCCCAACTCCCTCTCCAATTTCACCGACGATTTCGATGACTCCATCGAATCTGCTATCCGAACTTACCAACAAAATTTCAACCTTAACATCACTGGCCAACTCGACGACCAGACAGTTAACCACATCGTACTGCCCAGGTGCGGCAACCCGGATATAGTTAACGGCACTACCAGTATGAACTCTGGCAAGACACATAATACCTCGTCCCGTCACGTTCACACGGTTTCTCATTACTCCTTCTTTACTGGGATGCCACGTTGGAGGAAGAAAGCCTTAACCTACGCGTTTTTGCCTGGGAATCAATTAACCGACGAGGTTAAGACCGTTTTCTCCCGCGCTTTCGACCGGTGGTCAACCGTGATTCCATTGACATTCACGCAGACGGATTCTATCAACACAGCTGATATTGGAATTGGGTTTTACAGTGGCGATCATGGAGATGGAGAGCCGTTCGATGGGGTTCTTGGGACTCTAGCACATTCTTTCTCTCCGCCAAGTGGACAGTTCCATCTTGACGGGGACGAGAGTTGGGTCGTGACGGGTGATGTGAGGACATCGTCGTTGACGACAGCTGTCGATTTGGAATCCGTGGCAGTACATGAGATTGGACATTTGCTAGGGTTAGGGCATTCCTCTGTGGAAGTTTCCATCATGTACCCTACTATATCTTCGAGGACTAAGAAAGTAGAATTGGCCGACGATGATATTCAAGGGATCCAAGTGTTGTATGGTAGCAACCCTAATTACAATGGTTCATCTCCAACATCCGTTCAGGCGAAAGAGACTGGTAGTAGTGGGGCCCATTGTCTTCGTTCAAGGTGGGACCTTAGTGGGTTGATCATGGCCTTTGGATTTGTTTTGCTGCTTTTGTAGGTTAGGTAGATTAGATGATTCAGATTTTATTTTATTTTATTGTTTGGTGCCTCCTTTCTTTTGTATAGACCATATAGTAAAGGCGGCCGTGGTATAGTTTGTGATATGTTTGTTCATGATATACGATTTACTATTTTTTATTTGTATTTAATGATACCGTTGAAAATATTTTTTATTATATTTTTTTAAAAATCATCACTTCAATATTTTAAGATAAAAATATCGTAAAAACAATGGCACCATAAACGTCAATACCAATTTATATTATTATTTGATTGGAAGCACATATTCTACAGTGATTATGACAAAGACTACTCGGTTTTGCCTTGATGTAAGAAAAACAAAGGGCTGTGATCTGACAGTCATGGAATTGGTGGGCCTATTGTTGCACATCTTCAGCCCATTGGTGTTCCCACAGAAGAATGTTTGGGGACCAATTTTTACGAAGGAAGTCACCTCGAAGTTCTCTGAGCTTCTGCCTTCAGGTCATGTCTGCGCATTCTAACATTAAATTTGTTCGTCGTTGGGTTTCCGCTGGCTGTTGTGAGATTTCGTCGGCTTCTGTGACCCAGTGAAATTTCTCAGAAGGACGATCACCAATAATGCAAGGCCTAAATTGGAGGAATAATTTAGGGATGGCAGTAAAATCATCTCCATCTTCACAACAATCCCATCTTTTACCCGCTTCTAACTCCGTCTTCATAAGAACAAAAATCCCTGTGGCCGTCTCCATCCGAGTAAATGGAAGCAAACCTCCATCCAGGAAATTGGGTGCCATTGCTATCTTTGTTGAGGACGTGGCTATGAAATATGTGGGCGTGTGAATAAAAGCCATTGACCATTCTTCTTGACGATTGACTGCCATTTAATGAAGCATTTCAATACAGATTTTTATCCTCAATACCGTTTGATAACTTGAGCCTGAGGCATCTGAAACCAGCGATGGGAACGGGGAAGTGGAGCTAACCTTCAACATCAGCCAATTCTTCTTCTACGAGGGACTTCAATGAAGCAACATCGGGGAATTCCCCGTTCATCGTCTAATTTCATAGCTGGTTATTTGATTTGAGCTGAGGCAGGGATCTTCTAAGACTAAGAGGGGAACTCCTTGCATGTGAACTACTTTTTTAATAGATAGAGGCTCTCTGTTGATCTTTTTGCTTTTGTCAGCGTAATAGAATAAATGAACTTGGTTTCACTTAATTGTCAAGAAACGAAAAAAGATTTTCATCAAGAAGTTTAGCTCGTACGTTCTTTTTGAGTGAACTGATCGTGAACAGTGATTCGATCGCTGATAAAAAACAAGAGTGAACTGATCGTGAACAGTGATTCGATTGCTGATAAAAAAAAAAAAAATCTTGATTCAGTTCTCCACCTTAACGACTGATAAAATTCTATTGAGTGTTTCATCAATGAAGAAAGGCTTGGAGATTTGTTTCGTAGAAGCACCTTCCACTGTCACAGCTTTTGTCAGCCTCAGCTCGAGCCCTAGGAAATCTTTTTTAAAAAAGCTATCGATTCAAAAGTCATTTCTAGAGTAAAGATGAATGTGTAGCTTCTTCTCGCCGGCAACTAAAACAGCCATGTTATGAAAGTGGAAACGATTATATAGAAACTGAATCAGATTACATTTGTTTATGTACAATAAATTACCAAAATTCTCGCCTGCAAGAAAAGAAAGAGAAAATTTGACGAGGTTGCACATGACAAGACACAGGAGAGCATAGAAACAAACAATGAGGAAAGCTTCAATGCTAGCAACAGAACTACAAACATTTTCTCCTCCTCAGAGGAAATCTAATCAATACTGCACGAATATGCTACTTAAATTGTTAGATGAAAGTTTTCAGGTCACAAAACAATTTTCACGAGACTGCATTCTGAAGTCTCACTCCAACTTCAGTGCACCTGGCTCCTGATGCTGCTTATCAGACTCAGCAGGGAAGTACTTTATGCCAACAAGGTCACCAACTTGACTGATAACCTGCCAAAACAAAGCACTTTGCCATTATTTTGTCATCTGAAGACAGTAACCTGTCATCTTCTGAGATTAGTAATCACACATCAGAAATTCCTTCCTAATTCTATCGGATCAATGTTGTACAACCAATTAATCAGACAAAAAGCATATGAGAAGCAGCGGGTATTTGCAGAATCATAGCCATTGCTTTCCCATTATAAACTCAATCAACCATATCCTATTCCTTTGGCTGGTTGGAGTCGCTGGTCTTAAAATTGACATTTGTTTAAGAATCAAAGGATGCACAAAGTCTTTGTTGCTGATATTCAAATTGAACAGAATAGCCAAACCAAACAAAGGGCAAGAATACATACTGTAATAGAAACAAAGTTCACATTGACAAGCACAAATACCTCCAATGCTTTGAGAAGATCTTCCTTGGTATGAGAGGCAGATATGCAAATACGTGCCCTGGCCAAAAGTAGAGGAGTAGCTGGAAATGCAACAGTCACAACAGCAACCTGTAAAAGCATATTTGATCTTAGCAACCAGCAACATACACGAGCAAAAATGAAGATAAATATGCAACTAATTAAAATCAGAAATTTTGAATGTCCTTACAAGATCTGATGAATAAAAAATATCAACATGGCAATGCAGACATTAAAAAAATTACTAGGAACTCACATTCTGCTTTAGACACTCCCGAGAAAATGCAGGGATTTTTGCTGGATTGTAAAGCATTATGGGCATCACTGGTGAATCATTATCACCAAGAACCTCAAAACCCATTTTCTGCAACTCTGACCTGAAAAAGTTGCTATTTTCACGTATTCTTGCAAGTTTTTGAGCCCCTGAAGTAAAACAATATCAGAGCAAAACAAGATTGATATGTAAGCTCAAATCCACGTAATTAATTTCAGAAACATGTCTTTAAGTATATCAGAAAGAAAAACAGATTCTTTTCTAATACCTCTACTAGAACCATCCTCTCCAAGAATAACCTTAATGGAAGATATAATTTGTTGTGCAGCTGGAGGGGAAATTGATGTTGCGTATAAATGAGCAGGACAAGTGTACTTAAGATATTGGATTAATTCCTGAAAGCAATAAGCAAACTTCAGTCGCTGGGGACTTGCGTAAGATCAATAGCTGAATCCACTATTGGAAAATAATCAGAAAATTGGAAGTAAAGCTCAATAGGTCATAGCAAAGACAGGTGGCTAGGTGTTAACAACAACAGACATCCTTCAGAATTTCTAGAACTATTGGAGACAACAAAATGATAGTACTAATGATACGATTAAAAAGGATTATCCACCAAATGTTCTAAACTATACACACATAGCAGAGTCTTGCACATAAGATAGTGACTACCACTAGGTGGTTCACAGGGAAACAAGAAAATAATCGTTGACTACCACTAGCTGCCAACTTGGGTGCACATTATGACTAGGGGAAGTACTCATGTGAAATTCCCATCAGAGGTGCTCAAGTAACAAACCTTAGATCCAGCAATATAACCCCCACAAGATCCAAACGATTTAGTAAAAGTTCCCATCATAATATCTACATCAGCTGTATCCACTCCTAAGAGTTCACAAACACCTCTTCCTGTTTTCCCAACTGCTCCAATGCTATGAGCCTCGTCCAAGTAAACATATGCCTGCAACAAAAAGACAAAAACGTTACAATTAATCCTATTAGGCAGAAAATCTAGTTTGGCATGCAAGAGTACGTGGAAGAAGCATAAAACAGACCAGGAAAAAAATGACATGCCTTCCAGATTCATAGCATCCCTGACTTTTAAAATCTATATTTTTTTTAATAAAATAGATTCAACTTTCTTTGATTGTGAAACAATAGAGCAGAATTTAGAAACATAACTTTTCAGATGTTACAAATTGCAACTGGATATTATAATAATTCACCTGTTTTCTAATGCAACACAGTGATTTGCCTAAGAAAAACAAGATTCAGAAATTCAAGGTAAAATCTAATCAGAAAAGGTTGAACTGAAATTATTCAAGATACACAAAGAATTGCAATTTTCTACACTCCACTCCATTCATCACCTTGTATTTCTTGCATATTGCAACAATCTCTGGAAGTTTGCAGAGCTCGCCTTCCATACTATAAATCCCCTCCACAATGACAATTATCTTCTTCCAAGGCCTATGTGTCCTTGGTTGCCCCTCCGCAATTTGCTGTCTCAAAACTTCCTCCAAGTGAGATGGCGCTGAGAAAGATTGGCAACCAGATTCCAATGCATGAGAACACAGAAATTTTATTTCCAAGACTGAAAACAACTGTCAGATACAACTTACTATTGTGTTGGAAAACCCTAACTGTTGCTCCTGAACCTCGAGCACCATTCACAATTGAGTTGTGGTTCAATGAATCACTAATTATCAATCCTCCCTGTCTAAGAAACAAAAGATAAAAAAAAAAAAAAAAATTCAAGACACCATCTTTACATATTATAAACCCACAACTAAGATTATGCACATGCCTTTCCAATCAGAACAGGAAGGATGGCAGAGTTTGTGACATAACCCATGCCAAACACTATGGCAGCTGGCTTCCCAACAAAGTTTGCAACACACGCCTCCAGTTCATTATGCAATATCGTAGTTCCTGATCAAAACCTGCATTACTCAATACAAAACACCAAGAACATAATGAAGTAAAACATGGACAGAAATATCAAGCATACCTCCATCAACACGAGGACTACAAGTACTCGGCGAAAACCTCTTCAATGTCTCAATAACACGAGGCGTACAATACTCATCAGCTGCAGCAAACCCAAGATAATTATAGGACCCCAAGTTAAGACACCTAGTTACCTTGGTAGTCCGTCTGCTCAACACACAATTATAACAATTAACTCAGATAAATGGCCCAAAAGCATCACTTTATCTAATAATGAACGTAGAAAATACTTTTTCAAAGTTCTTACTTCAACGTCTTGTTATTGTCATTGGAGTACCGCTCGACAACATCGAACCACGCACCCGGGGAACTCGAAATTGGACGTCCAAAACAATCCTAACAACAACAGCAATAATTACTAAAAAAGAAGAAAAATATTTTTCCTCTCAAAAATAAATAAATCACTTGATTCGGTTCGATTCGGTTCAAAAATCATATTCTAAAATTAAATGAAGAATTAAAGTACCTGAATCCGAAGATATAAGCGACGAATGTAGAAGTCTTCAAGGCCTAAACAGATCGGTGCATAACCCTAGATTAAAAAAGAATTGCATCATCAACAGACAAAACCGAACAATTTAGCGCTTAATTTATGATAATAAATGACATAAGTTAGTTTTTTTACCGAGAAAAAGAGAGGAGAAGTACCTGAAGATTGCTAGAGTGCCACGAATCGAAGATTTTACGAAAGAAATCACGGAATTGGCCAAAAGCGAAGAGTAAGCCATAGCTGAAGTAGGTGCTCAATGCGGTCAGATATGGGATCTTAATCATTTCTCCTATCTCTTCTCTCCCTGAGTCGTGATTTTTAGATCTGATGATATGATTTTGCTCTCCTCAAGTTTTGAGAATTTATTTATTCGAGAGATAAAAAGGAAAGGGAGAGATTCTGATGAGAGATTCTTTCTAATTTCTTTTCTTTGGCTGGTTGAGAGAGAGAGAGAGAGAGAGGCTCCTCGGTCAATTCAGTGTTTGGTTTTTTTTCTTAATTTGGGTTTGCTTATTTTGTGTTGGGAAATGCTTCTTTTTTTTTATTAATGTAATTTTTTTATCAAAAATTATTTAATTTATAGTAATTTTAAAATTTATGAAATTTAATAAAATACACGTTGACTTAACTAACTGGGTTACACTTTTTCACGATTGTTTGCTAAATGCATTTTAAAAATGATATGCTTTTAGATAATTTTTTTAATTTCTCATATTATCTTATCAAGATTATTAAAAAAAATAATTTAATATTTTTTAAATATCAAATATATTTTTAAAATGTATTTCAATATATATTTAAATGTAATATCAATGACATAAATAAAATATTTTTTTAGAATCTAAATTTTTTTTAAGGATTAAATTGATACCCCAAGAAAAAATCTTGATGCCAGCCCAATTTTGATGATCGTACTTTTTACATTAAATAAGATTTTAAAATTCAAAAATTTTATTTTATAGTAATTTTTAATAAGATTTTTAGAATTTTTCTTAAATACTCTTTTTATTGGCTGTAGAAAGAGAAAAAACATGAAAAAACCCTATGTACCCTATGTTGAATTATTTATGTCAAATGAGATTTAAAAGTTTACTTTTATAGTTTTTAAAACAGTTTTAAAAAATTTATAAATATTGTGCCTGTTTGGTATTATGTATGGGTGTTTTTGTAAATCCTTGCCATCAAGTTGAAAATAGTAAGCTTATTGAAAATTAAAGAAAACTTAGGGTGCAGAGAAATAATAAATAATAATAATAATAATAAATGAGGGGAAATGGAGAGGATAATCTCCAAAAAATAGTTATGGTTCCTCTCTATTAACTTTTACAAGTTAAAATATAAATTGTATTATATGAGATATTTAGTTATCTTATAATAATACTAATTGGATATATGATATTAAAAACTTAAAATTTTTATTATTGAAGAAGCTATAACCTCTTAAAAATTCTTTAAATAAACATGTATATTCACCTATAAAAAAATATGAGATATAGCTTTAGATAAATATAAAAAAAACATAATAGCTTTTAAAATATAGCTTTAGATAAATATTTCAAGTTGGTCAAAATTTTGTGTTGACAATATATATACATTGAAGTAGCCAATTTGTAATTGGTATGGCATAAAATATTATATATAATAGTAAGTGTTTACATAATTGTTAAAGATATAATATTGTTATATAGTTGCTCTATAATTGAATTATCTTTATTAACCATGTAAAATTAAAGGGTAATATTACAAATCCACTAATAAAATGTTTAATAACAAAGCATTTTGATAAATTATATAGAAGAATAAGATTAGCATCTATGTTTTAAGATTTGAAATAATGGCAACTAAGTTAATTAACTGAGATCTCAAAAGATAGGTTTAAAAGATTAATCAAATCATGTGTCAATTCAATAATAGCACTTTTACTCATTGTTGAGATAAAATGTGCAATAAAAATAAGATAAACTAAGTTTTAAATTATTTTTATAGCTTGAGAAATTCAAGTAGGATTTTTTATGATACTTTTAATAAGAATCACATATATAAGTGTGAAACGATATCACTTTTACGAGAATTAAAAATGTTAAATTCTCTTAAATAAAAAGTGCCTGAGGGCAAGATGGATATAATTGTGAGATCCAAAATTGCAAGAAAGGAACTATATGATCTTTATTGTTTGGCTTCACATAAAAGGCAAAATAATTCAAGGCATTATATCTACTGGTTAATTGAATGAATTTGATAGTTTTTGCTAAGAAATGTTCAAAGCGAAAAGTTATCTTGCCCGATGCAACAACACTTTTTATTTCCATGTCTACTCTGTATTTTATTCTGGTTAAACAATTTTCATTAATATAAAAAGTTGTTAGGGAGTGAATGGAAAGTTGTATTTGTTAAAACTTTACTTAAAATAGAGTTGTGTCCTTTTAAACTAGAAATTGTATTTCAAAACTACCTATAAAAAAAGATAATTTTAACAATGTAGAAAATTTTTATTCTAAACTCTTCTTTTTTACATTCTTTTAGTTAAAATTCTTATAAGAGTTAACATAAGTCATTTATTCTTAGTTGCATTACCAAGAATAAGATATTAAATAAGCTTTAAAACAATATTATAATCACAATACTAATATCAAAGAGTAGGTAGTAATTATTTTAAGATTATAAGATAGATTATTACTTAGGCAGTGATTATTTTAAGACCATAAGATTGATCATTGTCTCAACCTGCTTCTGTAAGTCTATTTTATATCAACAAGTACTATAAGTTGAATATTATTTTTTTTAATTGTTGATTTATATACATGTTTTATGTTTTTTAGAAACCAAATCATTAATAACAATCTTACAAATTATTTAAAATGTTCCAACAATACTAAATGCAAAACAAATATATAAATGTATGAGATTTAATTAGATACACATGTTGAAATCAATAGATCTTATGGTATTTAATTAAGATGGATCACTTGCATGATGTTGAAAGTAAAGTTTTCAAAAATCTATTCAAGTTTTTCCATGCTTCAACTTGGTTCATGGCTAACAATGTGTGCAATGCTAACATTAAGTAGACTTATACCTTAATGATTAAGTTAGAATCAAATTACACATATTGGCTCTAACTAGAATCATTCTCAAAGCATTCCCTTACCTTCTTATTTGTGATATCAATGGCAATCTCATGACATCCCTATCATTACATACGAAATGAAAGGTAGCTTTTGAACATGTATGTGGAACAAAAGTAGCTAGGTCTAACATGAAAGATAAGAGCCAGTTAGGATAGCTAAAAAAAACTATCTATAGACCATATTGATAAGCTCTGAAAGGTGTCGCGTGCTTTTATTTGTCTATAAAATACAAAGAAAATTGACTTCCATGGTGCAAAAGTTCAAAAGTTGGCCTTACTTTATTGCGTTTTCATTGCATATTGATCAATCGAATTACATTGAATCATTTCATTGACCTTTAATTTTTTCACAGAGTTAAACACAATTCTCATTCTAAACCTTCTTTCTCGAAGAACCATTGTATATAGGATGTGTAAATGCTAAAAATGCATGTATAAATTGCAAGCTAGCTATCCTGTTCAATTTGAAAATGATCAAGTCTTGGTGGTTAAGAAAAAATGATATAGAAATTCTTGAATTATTTATAGATGCCATGCTAGTGTTAAGAAAAAATGATATAGAAATTCCTGAATTATTTATGGATGCCATGCTAGTATTCTTTCTAGCTAATAAAAGAAGAGAATAAGTTTTGATCTCATCATGAATAAGCTGATCAAAAGAAACAGTTGAAAAAAATAGAAAAAAATCCTAGGTCTTGGATTTTTTCAACTATTGATTTGTATTGAGATTTTGACATTCATTGATGTTTGTCTATGAAATTTTAATGAGATGTATTAAGTAAATCTAAGCTTCTTTCTTTTTGAATAGAAATGTTAGTTATAGATCTAATTATGATTGTAAGAATATTTTATAGTATTTTAGATTAAAATATTTTTATCCTTGTGGAGGTGCTATTTAAGAATTGAAACATAAAAAACGATACATATTGATTGATATATAGCTAAATACTAATAACGATTTGTCTGAATTAAAATAAAAAGTTCATGTGTACATGGATTTCAATTCCTTCTTTCCTTTCTTTTAAAGAAAAAAAAATTCACTTTGGCTTCTATAATTTAGAATTTTGAAATACAAGCTAAATGAATTTTTTTAAAAAAAATAACTTTTCATTTGTTATTAAACAGTTAATGGCAACTATTGACGAGATAACTTTTTAAATTCTTCTAGATTAAATAATTAATTAATACGCGTTTCATAGCAAGTCAATATAAAAAATATTAAAAATAGAGAAATTTTTTTAATAAAGTTATTAAATTTAATTAAATGGATTAATTTTTAAACTTTTACCTAACTCTTTGTCATAGCTAAATACTATAGGTCTTTTAATTATATCGGATGGAAGTTTATTATTATTAATTATTATTATTATTATTCAAATAAATTATTGTTAGATCGAAGTAGGTTGGATTTGACAAAAAATTAAGTGAAAGTTTAGAAATTAATTCATTTAGTTAGGTTTATTAATATTATTAAAATATTTTTTATACTTTTAATCGTTTTTTATATTAAAAAAATTAATATTAACTCAATGAAATATTTCATCACCTACGATTAGTGGTCGAGGCCATTAATATGGAAAAGCAATACAATTTTAGCACAAAACTAGCAATTTTGAGATGGTATGGAATCTTAAGCTCCGAGTTTGCAATAATCCGAACCTAAAAATGCTTCTCCAAATAACTTAAAACCCAATCGGAAAAGGGTTCTTCAGTCTTAACTTTGAGACTTTGTGCAAGCCCACCCTGCCCTGATAGAAGCTGGGCCATGGACGTGCACTTTCCAGTGGTTCAGCCGAGGCTTAGCCCACAAGAGCTTATTAAGAAGGTAGGCCTACTTCCACGTGTGTGAAATGCTTAGCCTCCTTTTATCAGCAGGAGCAAAATTCTATGATAGCGAGTACTCCTAATTGATATGGTCTGTTCACATATATATATTATTTTAATCATTTGTTAACAAATTTGTTCTATCGTTCGCTTGGCTAAATCATGACGTTGCCATATTGAATGTCACGGGCTTGAAAGGTAACAAGAACAACATTTCCTATTTCCACGTGACTGGATGTTTTGTAATAAATCTACAGGGTATTTGTTTTTTTTATATGTTTTAGTTTTTTTAAAAAAAATTAATATTGAGTTTTTATCAAATTTTATTATTTTATATTAGATTTATTATAAATTGATATTTATATTTTTTTATTATATAATAAAATAAAAAATAATAATTTAATTTAGTAAATTACATACTCGAGTAATAAGTTTAATCCATTAACTAAAATGATCATAATTTTTTTCTTCAATTCGGTCACGCATCATAATACATAATAGACAAATTAAAAAGTATAAAAATAATTT